TTCCCCCTGTCTTGCTCGCGCAGGAGAGCGCCTGCAGCAAAGGCAGTCCCGTCGAGCTCGGGTGCAGTGCGGGGTGGCCTACCCTACTCTCGGCAGGCGCCCTCGCGGGCCGAACGCAGTCACGAGAACCGGCTGCTATCACCAATAAAGTGCATCATAACCATTTTTCATGTTGTTACCCGCATCATGAAAAAAACTCATTTCCCCTGCATGCTCTGTCGCGTACAACAACCCGGCGCGGCTCTCGCTGAAGGCGCGGTGAGCATATTTTGACGTCAGCCGAAGTCAAAAGCCGCCCCGGTAGCAGGAGCCAGAGACGGCCGCACCAGTGAAATACCGCCCACTGTCTGCCGGGCCGTGTAACCGTGACGGGAGTCAACGCTGCGCTAATGAGCCCACCTCTCTCTCTCTCTCTCTCTCTCTCTCTCTCTCTCTCTCTCTCTCCCTCCACATCACATCACATCCATTCATACGCCGCGGCGACCGGTGAATTGTTTCCCGCCGCTCCTCGACTTATCACCTCACCTCCCCTCCCCGGGCTTCAACCTCCTCCCCCTCTTTCCTATCGCCCCCCGTGCTCCCGACGCTCCGCCGTTCCGCTGCTTTATTGCGGCGAGGGGTGAAACAACGGATGGTTTGCTTTCTCCGAAACAAACTCCCGGGGGCCTGCCCGTGTGACATGGGCTGGGCTGACAGAGCTGTGACCGAGCCGTAAGAAAGGGTGCGGGGGAGGGGGAGAGTTTCCGTTACCTTTTTGTGGTAGACATCTTACACTCACCCTCTCTGCGCCTGGCACGCCTTGTATACGCGCAGAAGTGGTAAACAAGAAAATTTGGTCAAATTTGTAGAAAATGTTTGTTGAAAATTTTACATCATCTTGACACTGATAAAAACACTTATTAAAAACTTGTCATTTATGCGCATTTATGAAGCTGAGGCTTTTCGTTCTAGCGAGCTCGACAATTTTGAAGTACTTTCTGTTTCATAAACATATCTTACCGTCTTTGACAACATTCCAGTGCTTTCTTTATCATTCAGTGGGAAAATCCCAGCAACCCGGGAAGCTTTCTCAGAACGCAATATGTTTTGGATGGGTGATCCATAGTTTGATTCACAGCACACAGCACCCCTCAACCCCCACTCCACTAAACCCCCTATGAATCAAGCACACAAATGGTGACACTTCCTCGGATAATTCTGAATCATAATAATAATACATGCGAGTAAGGCACACTTTACTATACTCGGCCAGCCCTCTTCAGATGCACAGGGCCAGACAAAACGCTAATGAGCACCAAACAAATAACAAAAACAACCGATCAGGACTCTGACTCGTGCCGTAAGAGTTTGCTATGAAACTTGTGGGTGTCTTTTACGAGGAAACTTTTCCCCGACGAGCAGGAATCCTTATTAAAACAGCTCGAATGGGCAAAGGCAGTGCTTCCGGTCGACGTCCGGGCTCGTCACGGCGTGGCCCGGCAGCTTAGAAAGGGCGGGGGGCGGGGCGGGCCGTGGGACGCGAACTAACTGCGCTGTTGTGTTCGACGAAGAAGGTGGCCGCATGGTTCACACTGGCAGAGCAAAGGCGGGGCGGGGTGGGGCGGGACTTGTGACTCAGCGGACAACTTTTGTGGGCACGCAGGGCGTCGCCGTGAAGCCTGAGGCCTTCCCCCGCGCCCGCGGCGGCTTCACGCCGCGAGGCGTCATCAAGTGAAGTGGGCTTCACCGCGACGGGCCGGGCTCGGTGCGTGCCGCGCAGGCCTGGGACTTCCCCTCGGCCCCTGAACTCGGTGGCCGCCCCCCAGCCGCACTTCGGCGCGACGACCCCGGGCGCCGGGCTTCCTCCGACCCGCCGTCGCCGCAGTCGGCGTCGCCGCGCCGCCACGACGCCTGTGCCGGAGACCGACGGCCGCCTCGCCATGGCGTCGGACACGGACGACGCCTCCGACTCGGACAGCGAGCTGCTGCTGCACGACACCGCCCGCGTCTCGCCCGCCGCTCTGCGCCGGCGCCTGTCTGGGAGGCGGCCCAGCACCGCGGCCGCGCCCAGGACGACGACGACGGCGACGACGACGCTGCTGTCGGCGCGCCACCAGTGCAGCGTGTGCGCCGTGTCGCCCGCCGCCTCGCCCCTCATCCCCAAGCGCGGCCAGTCGCTGGAGGCGGCATGCGGCGCTCAGGCGGCGCAGGATGGCGGCCTGCCGCGGCAGACGTCCTTCCCTCCCTACATGCGGCGCAGAGGTACGCCACGCCACGCCCCGCCACGCCCTGCCCCGCCCCGCTCAGCACAACTCGTGCCGCTATCGTGCATCCCACTTGATAACAATTATGATCCCCACTCCCTTTTACCCGGCCGCTCTTGGCCTTCCTTGATTGCCTGCTGCCCTTGCGAGACAGCAAAGCCATGGCCAAGGGCTCCAGGAAAGTGAAGGGAGGGGTGGGGGAGTTAGGGGCGTTATGGTGATGCACCTGCACGGCGGCCAGAGCTGCAGCCAGTCGCACTGACACCGCGGACAGGCGCGCAGTGTCCGGCCCGGCGGCCGCCAGGTGCAGCGGCTTGTGCAGCGCCGGGTGCAGCACCGGGTGCAGCGGCAGCTGCATGCAGTCCCCAGGAAGCCCCCCGCGTCACGCCCGAGCTGGGTGGTGTGGCATCAAGGCTGCAGGTACGCCCGGACGTCCTAGGGTCCGAGTTTTGTCATCCTGTTCTTGTCCTGTGGTGACGGTGAGGTTGTGTGAACGTGTGGGTGTGGGTGTTCGTGCCCCCGGAGCCAGGCAGGCCGCCGGGCGGAGCGTGCGGCCCCGTGCCGTGCGCGGCCGCGCTGTGCATGCTCTGCATGTGAAAACCAGCCATGTGCAAATTGGGCGCGAGCCGGAAGAGACCGGCAGGCGGAGGGGTATAGCGGGGCGCGGGGCGGGAGCCAGGCTGAGGCTGGCCGCAGCACGCCGAGGGTCCCGCCCACCCCGCAGGCCCACAAGAGCCTGCTGCAGCTGCTCGGCGTGCTGCCAGTCGAGCCGCGGACGGAGACTCAGGCGGAGGCAGGCGCGGGGCGAGCGCTGTCCGAACAGCATCTCTCCTCCCAGGACGGCGGCGGCAGGGAGGACAACCAACCCCGGCGTGCGTGTGAGTGTGCGCCACCGCCACCAGGGCCCTGGGGGGCGCCGCGGCTGGGGTCGCCTCGAGCGGCTGCCAACACGTGGGGGAGAGCCGTCGCCAGGTGTACCGAGGGTATCGACACGGGTAGGGCAGGGCGGAGGGCCGCCGCGGCCGCCCCGGGCCGGTCCCCGCCGCAACGACAGGTGTGCGCTGCATCTGCCCCAGGCCTATCCCTCCTCCGATTCGCCGCCGCGCCCGCCGCGCCCACCGCTCGCGCCCCCACCGCAGCTAGTCAAACAGGGCGTAAGCACGCCAGACCGCCCGGAGGCGTCGGGCCGCGGCGCGGCGCGGCGCGGCGTCACTTCGCACCTCGCTCGGAGCGCGGCCCGCGGGGGCGCAGTGCTCGTGCAGCCGGCGTCCCCGGCGTCCATCACCGCGTGAGCCTGGGGGGTTGCGGAGCGTGAGCGGGGGCCCTTAGCGCCCTCGGCGTGCGTGCGGTGGGTGCGTGGCGGTGCGTGACGGCGCGTGGTGGCGCGTGACGGCGCGTGACGGTGACGGGGAGGGCCCACCCAGCTGATGCCACCCTCCCCTTGTCGTGCACCGCCGGGGGCCTCTGGCTGAATCGTTTATTTTCAAGCTTGTAAAACGGCCACAGTAGTGTTGCGAGTCGAGTCGTTGACCCGCACTCTTCCCCCAGACACCAAGTCAATCATGGCGTCCACCCCTCCGCCGGCGTTCCCGACCGAAGCCGAGCACGCCGCCGGCGAAGAACTCCCTTCCAAGGACAAGAGGTTCAAGTTCGTGGCCGAGCGCAGCCGAACTGTGAGCTCCGTGCTGCTGGCCCTCAAGTCTAGCAGCAACTTCCAGAGCCAGACAGGTGAGGCATGCCCCCGCCTCCTTTTAGCACGAGTGGGCGACGCTACTTGCGCAAGCGAAAGAAAAGAATGTTTGAGTAGACTGCTTGGTGACGTGCCACACCACACTCATTTCACTTTTTGCCCCATCTAGTCGCTATTTTTCATCTCAGCATTTGACGGTGGAAATGTTTCATGACGTGCTGTACGTTATGCACAAGTCACAATCCCCCGCCAGAAACAGTTGTCATCAGCATCTTTGTTTGGATTTTTCGTTTCGAATCGACTGACGTACCGTGTGTGTTCCCTTGCACGCGACGGTGTATGCGGGTTGTGTTTGCCTTCTGCTGTTGGCCGAGCGAGTATGCAATCCCGCAACACTCTGGTATCCGTGCAGTGAAACCTACGTCACTACTCACCTCGCGCCCTCGTCTCCTTCTCCTACGATAACATTTTAAGCATTTTCTCCCCAAGAAAGAGAATTGTTAAAATAAATTTTACTATTCCGTCTAGAAAAAGTAGATGTATCAATAATATCCTCGTCAGTGAGTGAAAATGTCACTCTCTGAAGAATTAGCGGCAACAGGCTGTGGTATCATGTAAGCTCATGCAGCCTTGGTACATGATGAGGAACCTAATGGCACGAAGAAAACGTCGGGAAAATGACCCTTAAATCCAGAGATGTAACACCAAAATCCTGAAATGTCTTGGCCTAGGCAAACACTAAAGTCCCTCGCGGCATGCCACGATTTGCTGCACACCACGCCACACCTCGGAGGAGTGTTGCGGATGAGGCTCATGTCCTCCTCGCCAGTCCGTTGAAGCCATCCAGACTACGCTCCTCCCCCCTCCCCTCTATTCCACCAACAACTACCATTATCTTTCTTTTCGCTTTCATCCTCCCCACCCCCCTACCTCCACCGGCCCCCGTGCCTCCGGTCCTCGACGCTCCGCTTTGCCTCCCCGAATCCGGAACTGGTAGCGGCAGTGTCTCCCTCCCTTCCTACCGCCTATCCCCGCCCCGGGTCGGGGGCGGGAATGACTATCTGCACCGCAGAAGTCGTTGGCTCCGCCGCGCCGCGCCACGCCCGCGTGCGTTATGGTGATCAATACCGTTCACATCGGTATCGGAGCGCTGACCCGTGCCTGGCGCCTCGCCTGGCGCCTTGCACAAGGTCGTGGAGGAGGAGTGGATTGTATCCCATTGTGAATGTGAATCCCGGGTGTTTCAAAATGTCAATTATTGGGAACTTCTCCAACAAGTGCTTATGCACTCTGAAGAGCTTACTGTACGGGTCTACGGTCTACAAGAGTGTACCCTTAAAGAACTCTTAGCTCTACTATAAGTTCAAACCTGAAGCGTGCCTTAAGGGAGTGGTCCAAGAGAGCCAGATTTGGTTCACAGCTACCCAAAGTGTTTCCTACCAGGAAACCCGTTTGGCTTTAGGGGTGCCCTTTTGCAGTTCAGCTAGGTTTTACAGTGCGTTAACCTAAACCGTGGTCGTGGAAGAGGACCCGCGCCAGATTTTCAGATTTAGATTTGGTTTATTTGGGCCCATAAATGGTCTACGATAAAAACCTTCATGCCGTGTTTCTGCCCTACAGTAACGGAGGTGGCATATCGTCATTACACGCTTGATGCTAGTGACTACTTACTGTGTTATGATAATGTATGTAACTTTTCATTATGGACAGGAATGTCCATAGACTGGTCACAATGTTGTACTCAGCGGTTCAGTTGTGTAAGGGGTAAGTGAGCCTTACATGTTTATCCTTTTGGCTCAACTTAGTTGTCTCTTTCCGCACACGTAACGCCCTCCCCCTACACCTGCAGCACCTGCAGCGGGTTGGGCCCACCTCGCGCAACCCCAAACAATTAACGCTGCTCCCCTCCTCGCCCCGCGCCGTGTGTTGCCCCCGTAATGAGCTGCCCTCCCTGCAGTGCGGTGCCGTGCAGTGCGTCGCCAACACCTCGGCATGCTTGTTGTTGCAGAGCGGGTGATGTACGGCCGTTCCCAGCGCGGCCTGCACATGAGGACACCGGTCATCGGGGGCACCCCCGTCACGGAGGAGCAGGCGGTGGTGAGCAGGACGCGTCGCAGCAGCACTGGGTGCAGTAGAGCAGGACTCTATAGAGGCCTGCTGTAGCGGGGAGAGAAAGAGAGTGAGGAAATTTGTAGTGAAAGCAGGGGAAGTCAGAAAAACGTGCTGCATGAGAAATTGTGATATTTAAGGAATAGACCGTTCTTAAATGTGGGACTAAAGTCAAACGACCCTGACAGTTTGCCTTAGTCATCATCGTTCTGACTTTCTATTCTGGCTTCCTCTTCCTCACTTTCCCTCCGCTGCAGCAGTGCACCCGACCCGTAGACTTATACCCTCTGGCCGTGTCTGCCGCAGCTGCTGCGCACGGTGGTGTTCGGGGACGCGGCCACGCCGCCGCGCTCCGAGTGGTCGCGCACGGGGCTGGTGATGCGCGAGCCGGAGCGCGACCTGGGCTACGGGCTGCGCGCGCCGCGCAACGGCACCCGCGGGCTGCTCGCCGTCGTGCAGGCCTACCTCGTCAAGCACCTGCTGTTCGAGGCGCCGCCCGGCATGGAGGGCGCCGGCCCGCCCACCGCCAGGCCCGAGGAGTGAGTGCTCTT